CGTCATCAGCATACAGAAATTATGATGACGGCAACGGCGACGACTACGATGAACTCGATCGCATTGAATGACGAATGCATGTGTAGTACACTTTATTTTACTCGCAACAGCTCACATAATTCATTTTCTCATAATGTTGTTGTTTCGTCGTATTTTTTTCTCTTCTCTTCCTTCAAAATTGTTTCCAATTTATTCTTCTTCGTTGGACTCACTTCCCGTTTCCCTTGCATTATACATATGATTTTTCGTTTTAAGTTGTGTGTTACTTTTCACTTGCTTTCTTTCATATGTGGCGGCTAAAATCGGGTGATACATTAATAAGAGTGCTAGTCGATTCGTTTGAAGAAAAAAAGCGATACATTTCTATGTGTTGAGGGTAAAAAACAATATGTTGTCACAGAGAAGAAAAATTAAGAGAGAATGGAATCGAATAGTCGCGTCAAGTTAAAAACGAAGATGAAATACCATATTTACCATTCAGGCATAGTGAATGTGACCAAGGCACATCATATTCAATGTATGTGCACGCAACACACTCATGTAACATATATATATATATATCTTTGGTTATGGGATGGCATTCGAAGTCGATTCATTAAAAATCTCGATCCATAGCCACTTGAGCTCATAAAAAATACACAACACGTTTTACGTTGCATTTTTTTCTCACTCTTTTCGCCGGCGTAAACGACAAAGACAGAAAATGCATATGTCGCTTATTATGTGCAACTATACTAATTTTAAAAATGCATGCGGTGTTGATGGAAAACCGAAAAAAGAGCCGAACCGAAAGACAGAGAAAAAAAATCGTTGAAACAATCATGTGTCAAGTACACAAACAAAGCCAAAACTCAGCGTCGACGGTGAGAAACGGTCGGTCGATGTCGAAGAAATCCAGAAGAAGAAAAAAAACGAAATGAATATGAAAGAAAAAATCAGTATTAAAAGTGCATTTTAACCCTTAACCGCACAGGCTAAAACAGTAACGTAAGCGCACAGGTGGGGTCTTTTTGGACCCATGAGAAATTTCATACAAAACTTATGCAAAATGGTATCCAATGAGTAAAATATGTCATTTTATAGTTAAACCATAGCTTATTCCTTACTTTCCAATACAGCATCACAATTTAATATTGATTTTTATGGAAAAAAAAATCAATTATAGCCAAAATGCTTGGTAGTTATTGATATGTACGACTTTCAGACAGTCGTGTCTTTCACTAATATCGCTAATCGACAGTCGTTGGCCAGTTAATGTGCTTCGTGTACTGCGCCGAACTACCTCTCGATATGTGAGATCAATATAGATCGAGTCTCGAGACTGCTTCCCGAAGGGCGATCGCACTTTGAACACTGTGGCTCTCTGGCATTTATGAGTTCAACCCTATGTAAACATTTTTCCTTCCTCTTCTTCTGCATTTGCAAGAAGCATGTGTGATATATCAGCTTAACTCTGAGACACCAGGTGGCAGCACATTTGCGTGATCGAAACCAATTACATTGCTTTATATGGAGTGCGATGAGATCGCGCTGCTTCCGTTCTTCCTCCATACTTGGCAAACATGTTGTTAGACGTTCGCAACAAGGCAAACCCTGCCACACCAGCAACGTTCACCAAATTCACGAAATATGCCCATACATTGTGTTTTGGATAGGATAGATCCGTAAGATCTCCGCAAGAGCTGGATCTAAGCGTGCGTAGGCCGCCGCATGATACATACTTTGATTGGCACGCCTGCTTTGATTTGCGCGTCGAAGCAACACAGAAAAACGAACGAATATATCATGCGGCGGCGTATGCACGCTTAGATCAAGCTCTTGTGGAGATCTTACGGATCTATCCTATCCAAAAAAAAAACAATGTATGAATATATATTATAATGGCAAATGCCATTTGATTTGCGATGAACAGTATACGTCACGGACGAAACAATTTACTGTGTTGTTGTTTGATGAAATGTAAATTGTTGTGTCAACAAATCTCCATGAGTTTCATATTGGCCCATACAGAATACATCATTTCCCATACAAAATACTTTGGGGTCCAAAAGACCCCGTTGTGCTTTTACGTTAGTATTTTGTATAAGACTTCCCAAAACTTCATCTATGCACCAAACATTGAAATTTTTGATTTTATCACATAGATATGATATTAAAAAAGAAAACGCTCAGCGAAATTTTCCAATTTTTTTTTATATTTTTGTGATTTTTTCAAAAAACTAACTCTTAGGGCCTAAGAGACCCCACGTGTGCGTTTGAGGGTTAAATAAACTTATGCGTCAGTCAATCGCTTAATAGGTCCTTCCCCTTCCAGTGCTTTGTTGTTGTTGTTGTTGTTATTGTTTTTCGGTGCGATTTATATTAATTGAGAGAGTCTCAAATCACCTGTGTTTGCCTCTAGAAACAAGTTATACACAATTTTCAGCTTCAAATATGAAGATATTTTTCACTTTGGCTGTTGGTTTGCGACGGGTCGCTTTTCTTTTGTTAAATGTTACAAATGCAATTGCATATTTTAGCACTTCATCAAGTAATGCAGCTCGAGACGCGTCCGACACGAAAACCGTTAGACTTCGCATTCAAGCTCGATTACATTTCACATCAAATGTCATTCAAATGCGTCAACACACAAACATCGACTCGCGCGCACACACGCTTCCACAAAGATATGAAGAAAATTTATGGATTATGTTTTGGATCGGCAGCAAACTGATGGATTTAACGTGCACTTTGGCTTTTCATTTATTTGCAGTCAGACAACAACTCTTGGGTATTAATCAACACTTGAGTGCAGCAGCACATTTCGAAAGTCACAGTGACTTCAAAATGCCTTAATACTACTTTGGTTTTGTTTTTGTTTTTAGATGTTGGTTTTCCGTGCGCAAATTGTTTTGATTTTAAATGTGGTTCGTTGTGTTGCCGTTAAAGTTGATGTATGAGGAAAGGCAGCCCGAATTTATGTATGCCTTTTCAGAAATCAACGTCTTTATGGGAGCGTATGTAATACATAATAAATTACGTGTACGATTGTTTCAATATTCAATGAACGAATCAAAATCAATTCAACACCGAAGCATTCTTGTTGTTGTTGTTTTTATTTTTTCTTTCAATCGACACGTCAATTGCGCGATCTTTGTGTGTGCCAACTAATAAAAACATTCCGAAAACTTAATTCACATGGACACATTCGGTATTCTCTCTTCGTATATGGTAAACGTCTCACTCTGTGTGAAAGTATTGCTTGTCGAGCGCCTTAAAAATCCAAAAAATTAATCGCTACAATTTTCTTTGCGTTGATATAATTACGTCATTGAAAATCAGTTCTCCGGCATATGAATCAAGTCACCAATCAAACCAAATATAAAATTGTGTGACATGCACTCTAAACGCCCAAACAAATTTTCCATTTCAACATTGTTGCAAGTCAAAACAACAGCAATAAATTTTCAAACTCTATTTCCAAGAACGGAATCAATTAAACAGAAATCAAAATCATTCGAAGACACACACACACACAGATACGTAACAACAACAATTGAACTTTCAAGTCATTTATCTATGCATTTTGTTCGTTCTGACTAATTTGTTGCGTTTGCTGTAATAAACATACTTGTGTTTATATTTATCGTTGAAAATGTCCGTCGGAACAAATTTTTCCGTAGATAGAAGAAAATCGTAAATGTCGATATTATTGAATGAAAAGAATTGTTTTTCTATCCCACCAAGAGTGCTTTTATAAGAGTCAAGAATAAATGGCCGAACTGATTTATTCCTTGAGATAACTCAAAGGTTCGTAAATTTGTTTATTCAATTCAACAAACGTTGCATTGCATCGGATCAGCTTCACAAGTGGCTGTTGAATCACACACAGCACAGCAATTATCAATGCAAACAAAGAAAAACCAAACAAACACAGCGAATGAAATAAGAAACGCGCAAATAATCATATATAGAAATAGCGAAATAAAACCATATCTGATCTAATTAATTACATAAAATGTTTAACGACAATTTGAAAATACACGGCGAAGAAATGAGCAGAAGCACAATGAAACGTGCAATAGGATGCTCTATTCATTAAATGCGACATTCCGATTTCAATTCGTGCGCGATCTTCAAAACTCTCTGAATCGCATTTGCTTCTGGAGTTTTTTTTTCTCTCCTTGGTGTTCAATTGTCCCATGGTTACAGCAAAGACGATATCACGTGTATATCGATTTTCAGTTTTGGTTTTCCATTTCAAGCGTCGACAACGATGTTTACAGTAATCCGAATCGGAAGGCGCAATGTGTCCAATGCATTTACAAGCAAACAAGAAAAAACCGAAGATTTTTCTTTTTGCTAGCGGCATAATAAGTACCGCTTGGGAGGTATTTCAATTAAAATTAATCGAATTAATTCGCTTCTTTGGCGATTCGATGCACCATACATTTGCTGCACACTCCAGATCGCATGCATTTAGCCCCTGAATACCGCTCATGATACGGTTTAAATTTATTAGCAAATCGTGAACCAATTGATATTATTCTTCATTTCAAATGCATACTTACGGCGGAGATAAATCGAAAAGTATCAATTTCATTTGAATGTTTTTGAAACGTCGTTCAAACGAATACACGTTGTCGTTTTATAAATTAGATCAGATTAACAAATGAGTCACATAATAGCTAAACGTATGCACCCGATCGTCCAACATCTCCAACAGAACATTGGTCAGCAAATGCTTGAACCTTCACATGCTTTGCGACCATTGACCGTGTAACTTGTGCCTTTTTTTGCCATAACTCTCATTGATTTATTGTTTGAAACACATTCGAATGGAGCATAAAAGAGGCGGTCAAGAAATGTCATTTACACAAAGAATGGCTTTAGGTCACAAATTGTCTTCTTTGCCTTGTTTCGTTTACTTTGAAAATAACTTTATTGCAAAAAAAAGCAAAAAAAGAGTACATATGTAAACTAAATTTACTAATATTTAAACTATTTTTTTTTTCTTTCAGGATTTACATCGTGTGCTCCATCTCCATGCAAAAATGGTGGTCAGTGCATATCGAAACCAAAAGGCGAATCTTATTGCAAGTAAGTACCAAAACATTTTATCTTATTTTCGATTCTCTTCCATAAACCATAAAGTTCATCGCAATTACCATGTCAATTTGGTATATTTCATGCAAATTTTGATTGTAAACTGCCGTTAACTCGACAACGTTACATTAAACAAAAACAAAAAAGAACTAAATAAATGCATCTGCTTAAACATGCGATTTTCGTGTCGCGATTCTTTTTTTTTTCATCGAAAAAGTTTCAAAATAACGCCCGCAAGACACAAACCAAATGATCATATAAGAATTGGTAAACAGCAACAAGGAAATCAAAATTCGATGGCATGAATAACGAGTAGAAAGAGACAAGAAAGAGAGCGAGAGAGAAAATGACAAAAATAAAATATAATTTTTCGAATGGATTTTCATTCAACACACAAAACATGTGAGAACAAAAAAAAATCCGTTGAAAAAATGACAACGTGATCGTGACAATTTAGCAGCAACGACAACACCGCGCGCGCATGAAGAGAACGATGACGACAAACGGCAACAGAAACTAAATCTACAATAAAATTAAAATGACAAAATTTGATCGTGCTTAATCACATTAAAAACCGTTACGAGACGGCTCGTTATTGGTGCTGCTGTGGTTGACGTTGCTTAAAACTATGCAAGGAAAGAAAAAACAGTTTGTAATATATGACCATGGCGGAAAATTTATTCGAATATATCGTTTAATGTTTTTTTATATGTACCGTGCCCATGTGACGTGGTTTCGATGCACATGGCAAATATGAAAAAAAAAACAGAACTAGGAGAGTACTGCACTCAAGACACAATAAAATACCGCAAATAAGTTATTCAATAAATGCAAACTACGACCCAAACGCGCTCGCATACATATCGAAATCACATTTGTAAAATTATGCATCAAAACGACTTGAACTCGTTCTTTACCGCACCGCGCGCGCACTCACACTGTGTTGACTTTTTTGTCTTCTCTATGCCATTATTTTAAATATTTTCACGACAATTTTTCGCGAGCGCCAACTCCGTTTGAAGGAAACAATCAACGGCACAAAATCCAGAAAAAATGAGACACACTCACACTCTCTCGCAGGCAAGAAAAACAAAAACCAAAAATATTCAATTGTCTTCTAACAATAATTTTTTTTTTCTTCATCTGTCTTGTTATCGTTCGGTTATGTCAAATAGAAAAATATGCTTTTTTGCTGAACAAATGTCTCGTTGTGAAACGCTTACGAAATTACCTGAATAGACAAAAGATCCCAATTTATATAAAAGAAAAAGGGAAAATTGTAAGACGACAGTGCGCTTGCAAAATTGATTCATTGAATAAAATTGGCTTTCTTCAGCAACTGAAGTCGCAAAGCAAAGCAAAGTTTACAAAGCTTGCAGAAAAATTGTTTGCTCCTATTTTCAATTGTTTACTTTTTTGCATGTCAAATGTAATTTATTTGAAAATTGTCAGTGGAAGAGGCATAAACGGAATGGTTATTAGACGGTAAAAGCATGGATAAATTCATCAAAATGAATTTGAATCATTAGTCACTGAGGAAAATACTGAGAATTTTTTTTTGCGACAGAAACAAAATTACACGAAAAAGCCTGTGGACAAATCACAATTTTAAGCCACACACATTGATGTGCAGCCTTTTGCCAGTGCTGGGTTAAAGATCATTGACTTGTTTTCTTGTTCCTCTCCGACCGTAGTCTTTTCTTCAAAAGATCTATTATGTCTTTTTTTTTCGTGTATGATTCTGCTGTAAGTCGATGACACGAATATCGTCCCAAAACTTTATGAAATGGCAAATGCGAAAATATGCGCACAGCGCGCAGTGCTACGTGATTTGTCATTTATACACGCTATTCGGCACAAGTGAAGGTTCTGAGAAAACAAATGTATGAAATTCACGGCTTTTAAAATATTACAGTCCTAGATAATGTTGTTTACTTAAGTTCATTTAACACCTACAGTATTATTGGATAAAGGACAGTTTACGTTCCATTCAAGTCGTTAGTGTGTTAGTCGCTTTAGAGCGTACGGCTTTGTGTATAACGATCACTTTGTGCATAAATATTGAATTGAGAAAAATGTTTACGTCTGAACAAGTCAAACTGATATAAAATGCCCACATTTTTCAAACTCGATGTGTGTACGACTCGCTGCTAGAGGGAAACCACGCAAGATGTGCAGAATCAAATGCGGATGTCAACTGTTTTTTTTGTGCATTTGTATTTAATATGTTTCTTTATTTTTTTCCACTGTGATTGTATCAATCTTCTAATCAAGTTGTCTCTTCTGAACTTGGAAAACATTCCAATGTGATATGAAGATGATTTTGTGCGAAACAAATGCAAAATGAACTGATTCAAAGTGAATGTAAGAAGAAATACGTAAGATAAAGGAACGGTGATAATTAGTACTTTTCGCCATTTTCACATCTAGACAAATAAGTCTTGTCTACTTGCAGCTGCAGTAAATATGGTTCTGTCAGTGTCGAAGAGAAATTGCAAGACAGCTTTTGCTTGTTTCTTATTTTTATTATTATTATTATAAACAGGCAAACAAGACTCGAATGTGATAAAAGAAAAAGAAACGCAACCAAACATGATGCGTGGGCACATTCTATCGTGTGTACAACGCCGTACTTGCATAGTTTCATCAGTGTTGCACGAGGAAAATGTTACACGGTACCAAGATGATCAAGCATAAAAGAAACACTCACTGAGATTATATTAAATGAACCCACACAAATACACGCGAACAGACATTATCCATATGTTCATTCTATGTTCAATCATTTTTCATTATATTCACAATGCATTCATTTGTTCCTCTCTGAGCTTCGGTGCATGTTGAACAAAATGAAAAACGGCATTGAATCGAACGCAAATGTTTATGTGTAATACGTATATACACACACACACACACGCATACCACTTATATCGATCGACAGCGTGCCTGAATTGCTCCTTATTTTTGATGCGCAGCGCCCGAAAAAATTTCAATCGAAAAAGAGATGTTTAAATGCGAACTCGCGCAACAAGGTTCATTGTAAAACTGGACAAAAGGCACTCGCACAAAAAAAATGGCTTAGCATTTATTATATATGCACACGTGCAACGAGATAAAAGAAGATCTTTTGCGCGCACTCTATTCACTCCGTTCGATGAAGTGCATTCATCGCATTTACATTTCAGCTCTTGCATTGATCTTGCTATTAAATAAGCAAACAGAGCAAAAGTTTCGAGCAATTCAGCCAACTTCAGAATATATTGAGTCTCTTCTTACCTCTTTATTCATCGCGAAAGCACTACGAAAAGTGAATGCATCTGGTTAATTTGATAGAGTTTTAAGAAAAAGAAGATAAACACAAATAAGAAATCGATGTAGAGAGTGCAAAAAAAAAAACAACGACAACAAAAACTCGAAACAGAATAAGAAAACGAAAAATAAATGAAAACAAAAATCCATCCTTTGTTTATTCTTAATCTCTGATTGCATATTCAGTGCATTGTTTGATTCGGCCGCGCGAACAACGATCAAGAAGAGAACAAGCGAAATAACTAACCAGAAAAAGGTCAGTAATGTTCGATTGTTGCTTAATTTCAATTCCTGTTGGATTAACTTGCTTTTATTTTGTGTGGCAAAGTCGATTACGCCCTTAACTCCACACATTTCGCTTATTCAGACGATTAATGCAATCGCATGATGCGCAATAATCATTTCATAAATATATGGTTATCATAAGCGCGCGGCGCACAACAATTGCTAACAATTTTCGATTGGTTTCTTTATTATTGCTCTCGTTGATTCATCATTCATCTCTTCATTTTGTTTCAGCACAAGAACATTTTGGTTTCAATATAGAAAAACGAAAAACGTCTGTCCCGTATGTTTACTTTCATATAACATTTCTGATATCTTTGTATCCGGATAAAATTTCTTTTTTTGGGCACAACCATTTGAATTTAAATTTTAGTAAAATATGGTTTCACATGTGTGCGCATATAATTTTGGCTCCACTTTTTTCTGCAAACGGTCCTTTACGACTGCGATACTTTCCTTATTAATCACAATCGTTTTTTTTAGTATTTGTGATAAATGGTTAAGATCAAAGTGGTTCTTGGCCTTTGTGAAAATTGAAAAAAAAAATTCAATTTGAAATTGAATTGTTCGTCAACATTTCAAAATGTCTAACGGACTATTATGTTGGGTTGTCGTATAGATGCTTCCGTCAAAAACTGACAAATATATGGGCCCAATTAAGCGTTGTTTCTGTGGAAAAAACACACAGAGAAAGAAGCCGTTTGCTTAAATTTATTACATTTTTGTTAGCATCATTCACCTTATCCGTCCAATTTTTTTCTTCTTCTCTCGCTCTGCATCGACTCTTCATTTCTCTTTTTCGTTCTTTTTCACTTCGTTTGTTTTTATTTCATCGAGTAATAAAATAACATGGACAACTAAACATGTAAATTTTGAGCGAAACGTGTGAATTTTATTTTTATTTTTCTAATCACATCGTGGTGGTTCTTATTTTATATACGATTTAATTTCTTGGCGATTTTTTTGTCTTTTTTTTGCAATTTAAGAGTGCTTTCATCCATTTTTGCATAATATGTATGTACTGTACAGGCAAAAATATCCAAAATGTTAAACTTTTCAACTATCTTAATGTGTTTAAATTTATGCAAAAGTTGATGTGTTTTTTTGTTTGTCTCAAGTTTTGTTTCTATTCAAGACACTGTCGTCATTCTTGCTTCCTCATTCTGCTAATGTAACACTTGAAATTTATGTGGCATAAGCCAAATCGATAGAGAGCAAAAAAAAAATGTTGAGATAAATGAATTTTGTTGTTCAAAAATAGATTCTCGATTGTGGCACCGACACAGTCGAAAATAAATTGAAATGGGACCACATTCAATGGCGAATCTTCCATCGAATTGAACGATTTGTATTCTAATGACATAAATGATGTTCCATGATAGTGTTGAAATTAAAATGTT